GAGTACTTGGAGGTGAAACAGTATCTAGCTCTGCTTGTCCTTTTCGAGCTGTATGTGAATTAAATGGTTTCACGAATTAGGTTCACTTTGACACCTAGCGCTCGTATTGGTCGTTGTAGCTGACGAAACGGCGGAGAAGAAGCGACAGAAACGCGGCGGTAAAGGGGTGGTGAAAGCCAAGAAAGTTACTGCTACCGACATGCAGCCGATTACGCTTTCCAGAGCGCCGAGGGGCAAGAACAAGTTCGTAACCGTCGTCGTCGGTCTCGCTTCTTACGGTTAGCTGTTCGCTGGTCGCTGCTGTGATTTGTCTTATTGTGAATTCATCTTACACTGCGCTGTTTTTAGGCATCGATTTAAAAGTGGCATCCAAGTACTTCGCCCAAAAATTTGCTTGTGGTTCTTCGGTCACAGGCGCAGACGAAATAGTGATTCAAGGCGACGTCAAGGACGACCTTTTCGACCTGATACCGGAAAAGTGGCCTAAGGTAATCAATGTCGTAGTTTGGCAGTTTTGCTGTACATAAAAATAAATTACTAACAAAGAATAGCGAAAGCTTATTTGAACAAGGCTGCTTGCATAAATAAAACGAGCGCTAATAAGTGGATAAATACGTATTAAAAGAAGGGCTAAGTTATGAGCGAAACTACGAACAGAAATGACGAAAAAATTTTCAGTTTCTTGGTTTGTGGTTGAAGCCAAATCGTATTTATTTCCTCCCCCATCAAACAACGAACTTGTGATTACTGTATGTAGTAGCAGTAGTAAGAAATGTGCTGATAAACAAAAGTTTCACCAACGACCGACTGAAAATGTAAACAATTCGATTACTCATACCTTTCCAAGGTTAAAGGTTTTAATTCCTTCTGCTTCATGAGGTCGATTTTATTCTACGTTACCACACAGTGCAAATGTTCCTCTCGAGACGAATTTCTCTATTCTAGTCGATTTTCCAGCGAATAATAATGGGAATTGGGGACCGCCTGAACGCTTCAGTTCTACATCCTTTTGATAGTTCGATATACAGGTTGCTATATCGTTGTTGGCAAAGAAGTTGTCAACATGTATATGTATGACTGGGCTTGTTCAGTCGATGGAGCATCAGCCACTGAACCGAGAGGTCCCGGAGTCGAGCTCTGTTCATGGCTCTCGCATGTCTTCCATCCGATGTTGACAATTGAGTACTGCTCTGTAGGAAGGAATGGAAATCATTGCTGCACCATTAACCTTATTAAACAGAGGGGGCACAAATCCGCCTCCCCCCACCAATCATGAAAGTGTAGGGACGTTGACGTCTCCACGGCTACAGAAATTTTATTTTTTTTCTGTATGCATGTACCCCAAAGATTATAATGGGTATTATTAATGAAACTGATCGGTAAGCAGTCGTTGTTTGTGAGCGGTAAATTATTGCCACCATGCACGAGTCATTAATCAGCACATACTCCTTACCTAGATTCGAGAACTTTTATAGGTTTTTAAAGCTGTCAGCTAATTTGTCTAACGTTTCAAGAGCACAAGATAATCTTTTTGGTTCAAATGCTACTCAGAAATCGTAGGCTTGTTCTAACAGCCAGGTGCAAAGTAGAGCACCCTAGATTTACTGAGCATCAGCGACTTATAACTTTTAACGATGATTACTGTAGGCAGTTAAGAGAAACCCTCGTTGGCGATTCCATGATTAGCGGTGTGAATGAGTACATAAATCTCTTACAGCACAACCGGATTACATGTCTGACTATGGTGTTCCTCACTTATGCTATTGCTTACTTGTGTTTCTTGCTTTCCCTTCTTAGCCGACATACGCAGCAAAATGTAGTGTTAGTTCTACTTAAACGGTAAACGAATGTAACTATAACCATGTATATACCTAACCACGTGTACATGAATCACATGGATATTGCAATGAAAGTTTGATCCCGATGTTTACTGAAGTATGAAGAATTCACACAATTTAAGTAATAACCCAATTATTCTGCTTTGAGTGTTATTATTATGCATAACTACAGTTTATTCAGATCGATGAAGATTCCATAGAAGACGTCGGTGATCACAAGCGTTGAAAATCGAACTTAGGTACCGGAAGAAAAAATCTGTCAATAAATCAACGAAACACACTGTTCATAGACATGTGTCAAACCGTTAAATATTTCTAAATTTTTTCGCATTAAAACAGTATCATACTTGTTTGGCTTCACCACAGATTTTTCTGCTTTCCGTTGTCTGCTTATTACGAGTGTTTCTTACAGCTTCGTGTGTCATTTTCCTTTCAGAGCGTGAACATCAGCCATTTTGTCATTATGTGATATGTAGCATCTTTGAGCACTTCTTCATGAATAATACGATAGCCATGAATTTCGGTAAACGCATTATGGCTGTTTTCGAGTAATAAAACCATTATTTTAATGACACTGAAGGTTGGCAAAGATTAAGGTAATAAATGACATACTTGGACAAAATACAAAATGCATTCTTCGTAGCTACCACAGTAGTAAACATCGTTCTGAAAAACTAAAATTCGTAACTGACAAATTCATAATCATGAATTAATATATCTCTTGATGACTTTAAAGTAAATCTGCCTAAAAATAGGACGCCAATGACGAACTTCATCCTCTCAAAAAATTCAAATTTATTCACTGACCGCAGAGACGTGACAATCAGTCGTTTGGCACAGGAATGACAGCAAATATAAGCGAAATTATTTCCAAACGAAATACTCAGAAAAAATCAGCTGTTATTCAGATCATTTCATCGGCAGAAGATATGATGATTTGTGGAGGGGCTAAAATAGTGCAACGTGATCCTCTTCGATTATACTGCAAATCGACTGAACCACTACGAAATGTCTTTCTGGAATAATGGATGGTGAAGTTTTTTTTCGTAATTTATCTCCTGGAGCGATGTTCCTTGATGCCAGCAAGGAGATCGTATATTTGTATAGAGATCTATATACACGGTTTCACTGCATTTTATACCTTTTCGCTGTCATGACACTTTCTGATATCATCAGTCGCGCTTTATTCTTATCGTACAGATGATCCAGCACATGGCGTAATGGCTGAACCATTACTGTTGCGCAGAGCAACGACTCCTGTGCCCAAAATTTAACTCCGTCAAAATATTATATCCTCAGTTCGGTTGTCTCGAATCTGCTGCGAAACGAACTGCAGCATGTTGTCAATGTAAAACAAACTAGAACAGATCAACAGTTTAATATGTATATAAAAATGTGTTAAAATTCAAAGCCTCTTCAGAAATACAAAACTAATAAAGATGATCGATGCTGCTAGTACGGGGCTTCTTTATCTTCTCAAGGTTCTTTATGATCATGTCGTGTAACGTGCTCTATAAAAAAAAGTTACAGAAGAAATCTGGCAATAAACGGAAAGTTTATGTACAAACTGAACGAAACAACTTGTGTTTAAGGGAAGTAGAATAAACAATTTATTAATCAAACAGCACACAGTTGTACGCTGGTTACGAATAAAATCTTTTTTAGTGCTGAAATAAGTTGGATGGGATAAGTTTTTAAAGGCAAAATTTATACAAGTTCCCTTCTCCACAAAAATCTTCAGCCTAGCACTCACGTAATGTCGTGTTGCTGGTGTTTTGTCATCGCTATCAGAGGTTAACAGATATTAAACAGCAGAGTAACTCAGATTTACGTCTGATCATTAGAAATGATACTTCAACTTGACAGGCAAAACCTGCGGTTACTTCCATGTTTTGCACTGTCCTCAAACGCGTCCAAGTGCATAGGAAATGGTTTCCAATCGAGAAAAGTTTGGAATATATTTTCATTCTCGTTTTGGACCGTTATATCAAATCAAACCAGAAAACGGTCTCTGGATCCATTTGATAGTTTTCTCAGATCGACGGTCGTCAGCACCTGCTCGTTCGTGACCAAATGAGAAATTTCGTACAATCGCACTTTGAGAATGCTGTGTAGACACAGTTGTTGGAAGCTATCTGGAGAAGGTTCAGGACAACAGATGCTTCGAGACTATACGTGAGCAACGCTAACATAGCCGTTTTCAGAATGGTGATTTTCGTATTCGTTATTATTATTCGTATTTTAATTATCCTCCCATACGTCATAAATCACGGATGCCACATCCAATACACGATTCGCTTCAGAATCAATGTCACCATCTTTAGACAACACATTCCAGTGTAGCTAAAATGGTCTCTTCATCCATCCAACAGTATCCTCGAGCAAGCGACTTCATTTATAAATTTTACCTTCTTAGCGTTGACACGCAACTTTAATAAATAGCAGTGTTGCCTAACCTTTCGATGATAGTCAGGAGGGTACTTTTAGAATTGTTCATCGGTACGATGTCATCAACGTATTCAAGGTCCGCTATGAATATTGTCGAATATTTCTATCTGTGTCGCCAACTGACGACGCACTTCCACAAAACAATCTGCCATGATATTAAACAACACAGAAGAGTACCTAGCCTTGACAAACTACATTAGTGTTACTGAGCCAATCCGACAATCAACCATCAGTTTGAACGGTGCATTTTATTCCTTGGTTCAGACCTTCAATCAGGTTTACCATAAGCTAATTGTCCGACCTTATCATCTAAAAAAACGATGAATTTAGACCAGAACTGCGATTCCTCATCGGCTGAATGGTTCAGTAGACATATGGTCCGTATGCTACTACTGT